GCAATTTTTCCACTATTGTAATCACCATTCCTTTTTTTACAGGTTGGCCAAAGCAAAACACCTAACCGCGAAGGTGAGTCGGCGGAACCGCCGCACCAGAAACCCCGCTGCCGGTAAGCCTATATTTTATTTTTTTACTTTTTTCGGCCAACCGAGACCTCTTAATGTGTTTTCTTGTAGAGAGGAGTGCAAAACTGATCGAAATCGATCGAAACTGCCAAAAACAGCCAGTCCAAGGCAAATCGTCGTCGTGCCAGAATTTCAAAATTGGCCAAAAAGGGTTTCTTACACAGATTTTGAGTTTTTAGAGGTATTTCTAGATATTTGGAGTGTATTTTAGTCTCTAAAGAAAAATTCAGAGAACTCGGGGACTGCCAGTAGGCGCAGTTGAAAGCTTAGCATTTTGAATATTAATTCGAGTAAGAATCTCTCACCTTATTCTTTATTATGGAATTGAAGTCTAATTATAAACAATACAGTATTTTTTGTGATTTAGAAATATCGATAATTAAAGATTACTAATAGAGGCTGAATTGGTTATTTATTGCTAATTGTCATATTTTAATTGATTGATTAATTTTACAGTTTCGAACGCATGATAACATACTAGAATTGGTATGATAATTTGTTTGTATCCCTTGATGTATGTATTGCTTATTTTACATAGTTCATAGTTAAATTGAGAAATGAAAAATTAAATGTAAATAAAAAATTACTTGATTAAGTGAGTGAATGAATGATAGCCTTACTAGATATCTTGGGAGATGGTGGACGGACCGGGTACATAGAGAATCCTACCGTGAACGTTGCCTCATACTGGACAAAGTATGGAGGATTATACTTTGGCGCTCATATCAAACGGGGTATGGAGATGGCTAGTTTCACCCTCATACCGAACGGGGTATTGAGGGATGATATTTTTGGCACTTATATCGGACAAGGTATGGGGACGGTTGGTTAATGAAAAATTTAGAATAAAGGTTCACGTGTAGTGAGAACATCCCTATGAACCTCCGTAGATATCAGTAGACAGATAAAAAGGAAAGGTTATTGTTCTAGTTAATTGTACATGAGATTATGAGATTTTTTGTGTCATTGCCTCTGTAGATCAGTTTTAAAAATTTCGCTACAGTAAGAGTACAATAAATAATTTTATTTATGATAAATGAATTTACTTAAAAT